ATTAAAATGTCAACAGCTAATATGAAAGAGTCGCAAATGATTCGAAAAAAAAAAAAAAACAAGTAAGAAAGCTCTAGTCGAGATTGCTCGACTACGAGATCCCCTGAACCCTTCGGGCATCTGATATTCCATTAATTATTACACATACACAAACGCACTCGCACACACAGGCATACGCTCGCAGTAATAGTAGTAGTAGTAATTTAATAACTTTTTTATGGATGGACTACCTTCATGAATCTTAGAGATTATGATTATAACATACATAGAGTCTCTAGTATTTCAAATACGCCTTTCACAAATATGAGGGTGAGGGGGTGGACGTAAGGGTGGGGGTAAATTTTAACAAAAACCGAAATTATTAAAATTTAGAGATTCGAGCTCTAAATATGTTGGAGATATAATTTAAAACCTAATTTTCGATAAGGTTTTTTTTATCGATAAAACATTAAAGGAATGAGTTAGAGAATTTAAGCATATATGGAAAACATGCATATAAGTACACTTTATTTATACTTTCGATTCCATTACAGATAATGGGTCTCTGGTACGGCAGCGAAATCATAATGCACAGTCAAGATTTTCCGGGCGTGTACGAATATGATTCGTGCGTCATCATACATCTGACCGATGTTACTGATCAGGTGAGTTCAAATATTTTGTTTACGTTTCGCATATTTATTTACCTTTTCTTACAGGTGCAAGCCAGCTACAACAACAATTATGGCTACAATGGCTACTACAACAATCGCCAACAAAATCAGAATAATTATCGCACCCTAACTAGCACGCCCACATACCAGGAGCACGACAACGAATATAACCGTCGGGCGCAGCAGCAGAACATGAGGTATCTGCGTCTCGTGTGGAGCGAGCGAGACAACAATCTGGAGTACACATTCAACTACACGGCAAATGCGCCGAATGTCTGGTCGAATGTTGGCGATCAGCGCGGCAGTCTGGCCACCCTGAACTCCTACACACAGTTCACAGGCACCGTGCAGGTGGGCAAGGCGGTCAACGATCACCTGGTGTTGACCTTCTGCGGCAACGACGTGAAGAGCTCCATATACACCGTGGTGCTCACACGCAATCGTTTGGGCCTCAGCAATGAGGTGAGTCATAGTCTTAAGCATGGATAGTCTGGAGATGGAGTTAAGTTTGGTTAGCTGGCATAGCAATTGCTTTTATATTGGGCCTAATATACCAGGCTCTATGCTTTTTATATTACCTGAAAAAGGCTTGACTCTATGAATAGAGTATTTTACAGTTAAATTTGCTTACTTCTAGCTATAAATTACATCCATATTTCTCTCTATCCTTCGCTCTGTCTCTCTTTTCTTTCTCTCTCTCTTTCTAGGAGCTGCGCAGCGTCCACAACATGCTCTCCCGCCGTGGCCTCAGCACGGAGACCATTCGCAAGGTCTGCAGTGGCTCGGCTCGCCTGATCGTTGGTCTGCCGGCGCTCTTGCTGCTGCTGCTGTTGCCGCTGCTGGCCGGCAGAGGGCGTTGCCATTGAGTGGGGCCGTCTGGTGCACAGGAACCGCATTCCAGCCATACTCTATGTTAATTTATGCCTAATCGACTTACTTAAGCCACATGGAATACAGACCCAGCTCGATTAACCAATTCTCTCTAGTTTCGATGCCTTAATTGCTCTTGTCTTGTTCCAATTAAACTCAATTAGTTAGCTAACTAACCGCTTTGCCTGCCCTCTGCTCTTCTCTGCACTGCTCCGCTATCTGGACGTCGCGACGTCTAACTGTGTGTGGGCGTTAAGTGTGCTCTTAATTCAATCATCAAATCGTTACAAACATCGTTTTCTTCTAATTTTTGATTCCCACGTTACGGCCGTAAAGTAGGCAAGGAAAATGTCAAGAAAACAAACTGTTCTCGCTTTGTAGATAGGAATTTACTGCTTGCGAGGGTAGTGTGAAAAGTTTAGCATACACGAGGGTAGTCTCAAACATTTACCATATAACAAAAAGTATATCTATATACGAGGGTAGTCTCAAACATTTACCATATAACAAAAAGTAGATCTATATATATATATGTATTTTATATAATGAATTAAAAACATTAATTTCTTTTAACTATTTTTCTTTTCTGTTTTTTTTTTCTTTTATATAAAATCATTTTTGTTTCTCTTTTGTTTTTGTATTTCCTTCACTAGCGTCTACAATTTTCAAGAGTAACATCGTACATATAATGAGGCTGGATCTTAAGTAGATATTAATGTCTTAGGAGTTTATGATATATATATACGATATATATATCAATATCATCTAGCTGATTTCCATTGCCAAGTCCATTGAGTGCCTAAAGAAAGGAATTAAGGTAAGTACAGAGTATCACGTAGTCTGGCAATTGTCTAGCACATTGTTTAGATCTTAAGATATGTATTGGTTTCACTGGTTTTCAAGATTAAACTTATCAAAATGACCGAAAACCATGCCCTAGTAACAAGCTTTCGCCGTCAAATCTAATCAGAGATGGAAACAATTTTCGGCTTGGACATCTTGCGAGGTATATGATACATACACATATATATTTATATATGTATATGCCCAATATCTTATCGTTGGGCACACGCGTTTTAAGGCAATAGTCTGGCGAGTTTTATACTTGTTTTCGTTTGCTTTCTATTTATAATATTATTTTCCTTCCTTCGTTTTTTGGGGACTGTTCCGATTCGCTTATCACTTATCGCTCGATTATTGGCAGGTTCATTTTCGGCCAAAGATTCGTAAACAAGCGGCTACCTTCCATGTGGAAAGTTTTGGTTGAATTGATAGGCCCTTGCAGCACCAGGAGACAACGTGTCGACTCTTATCGGCCCACTGGGCCGCCTCCTACAAACCGAATGCGAACTCCCTGCGCTCAATGGGGTTCCACCCTTGAACTTCGAATGTTTTGCTGTTGTTATTGTTGCTCACTATTTATAATTTCATTTATTATTATTATTATTATTATTGTTGGCATTAAGCGCACGCTCTTTCTAGTTTTTTATGATTGCTTTTTTTTTTATTATTTACTTTTTTTTACAAATTGACTAAGCAGTTCACTTGAGCCCGCGACGCTCTGACTGCATTGATAAGGTAAATAAACAAAAACAAAGGCAACGTCACACGTAGACGGCTCATGAACAATAATTATACATGATGTCAACATAGATATACTTATGGCCTGAACACGCTCTGAACAGCTGCTCAAAATCGAGGGGGATATGAAGGAAGGCGGGAATGGAATGGAATATCTGCAAACGTCTTTGCTTAGTGGGCTAAAACTTTCCTACAATACTTGGTTGTTTATAGAAAATATGAGACCCTCTTGTAGCCAAAGTCTATAAGTCTAATTGATTAAGATCTACAGTGTGTACAGCTTGGAACTTCTGTTGTAAATTGATCTTGTAAGAGAAGACAAGAAGCACCTAGGACAGAGCTCTTAGCACAAATAGCTGGAGACAATGAACCTATGACAAAGGTCTTAAGGCATAGCTCTTCGGCCAAAGGTACTCAGATAACGGCACTTAAAGAAAGATCGTGGGATAAGGATAGTTAAATGAAGATTTATAGATAAAGATCATGAGTAAAAAACCTGTAGGAGAAGTTTTTGATAAGATAATTCAGAAGTGCCATTTAGTCTGCTAAATATTTAAGAGTTGGAGGTATCCGAATAAGGGAATCAGTAGACTAAATCAATAAGAGAACTTTAATCAGTCATAGTGGACCATAACTGAGGGCCTTGCTAAATAGACAATGAGACAAGAGTTGATAGGCCATGAAGGTATACGCTGAACTGCTATTAGATTATTATTACATAGATCAAGTATGCATATTATTTAATATATACTTCATATAATATACATGTGACAGATCAGTTTCCCATTTTAATTGAAACATCAGAATGTAAATCGAACTCACGATCAGTTGGCATGTTCAAGTAATCAGTAATTAGGTCGAAATAATCCTCTGATTAAAATCTGATACGTAGGCGTATCCGTTGATAGCCTGAAGCTGAACTGAAATGTTATTCAATAGACTGCTACACTTTAAGAGCAGGTCTCTGGATTCAATTGAAAAGCTGACTAACACCTGGTGACACCTGCTACATCTATGCAATATATGTATAGTTCCTACGTTACATGTTGATCAATTACTAATGATTAGGATTTGAGTAGGTCTATCGGTCTATAGGTATAGGAAAGAAGACAATCTAATGAGATAAAGGATAGGCAAATATATAAATAATGTCAAAGCTATTGAGGTATTTCAAAAAGTAAAGTTCTTGGTGTTGATTGATCAGTAGCTTAACAGTTCACTTAGCCTTAGTCCGTTATATAGAATCGTTAGAGTGTGAATGCAATCGATAGCATATATGTCAAGGATAGATGAATATCTGGCAATGTGTTTCATATAGAGCAGCTAAATGCTTAGACGATCATTGACAGACGAGCTGCATCAGCTCTCGAGAATTCACATGTCATTCACATCTCCGGGATCTTCGAGTCAGCCTTTGGCAATCGCGTGAATTGTCGCTTGGCGTAAATTATGTCAATTATGCGAGCTTTGCGTCAGTTGAGGCACAGATCTATATATATAGTATTTAGTCGATGACGACTTTGCACTTTGAGCTGCGCACATGGAAGTCAGAGCCAGAGCCAGAGCCAGAGCCGCGGTCACCTGTGCATTGAGCTAAGCAGAATGTAAACAAAACTGTGTCGCAGTTGCAGCGCTCGACTATTCATACGCATCATAAACTAATCAATTAATAAAGCCAACTTCAAAGAAAAGCAAAACACAATAAACGAATGTAAAAGCAAGCGATAAGCGAGAACTAGACAAAACCACACAAAACACAAAGCCCAACAAAAAATGTTGATAAGCCGTTGAGCTATAAAAGCAGCGGCGGTTGCTACACAGCTAAGCAGAAGCGTTTCGCCAGTCGAACGATCTCAACGAAAAATACCAAATATATACGAAACAGGAACTATATACCAAACAAAAACATACCAAAAATGTCTGCTGCAAATAAAGTGAATTACTTGGTCGGCGCTACGTCGCGTTACATTGCCGGACGCCACGCCGTGCAGACGGTCTACTGGCGCACCTCCTCCGGACCCGATTCCCGCATGCTGAAGACGAAGAAGACCTGCGAGTTCGATCGCAGCTCCAAGGCGCCGCAGAGCGTGCGAATGCAGCGATACAATCGCAGCTTCATCAACAAGGAGTAGCAAAACCCGCCACGAACAAAACTAATATAGTTCCTACATTGTATATATATTTCGATTAAGGTATATTTATTCAACAACAAAAAGTGAAAAAAAGCAAGAACACAAATGAAATAAACTTAGAATTAAGCTGAAAAAACTAAATAGTCATTCGCTTACGTTATTTGAGAACTGCTGATAGGATTTCTTATATGCGTCATCGAGGCGAGACTTTGAGCATGGGTTCAAAGCATGTCGAGCGAATGGCATGATTGGAGGAGCTGTGTTAACGCCTCTGACACAGTTAGATAGCGTGTGAATGGGCCAGAGTGTAGAGCGCAACTGTACTTTTTTTTTAGAGTACCGAGGAATCGCCTTTGTAGTACCTGAACTATTTACATGGAGCTGTTGTTGAAGATTGAGGTGAGTGCTATTCAGCTTTGACAATATATTACTGACTCTTTAGTAGTACTCCATGTAGTCTATATACTATATAAGGAATATATGTGCTATCTGCTGACTTGAAATATCTGATATATTCTCGTTGAACTCTATCTACACAGCTATATATATATGAGTATAACGAAGCTCTACTTGTTCCGGATTTTTGAAGCCGCGCATAGGCGTAAGTACACAGTAAGCACATTATCTCCGAATTTCAAGTTCATGCAGTCATCATATCACAAAATCAATACCGAGTCTATATAAATATTTAATTTGATTTATTTATTAGAGTCTCGAGCTAATATAAAATTAAAATTGACTTAAAGTTAACCACTCGCACTTTTCTGAGTTTCCCATATACTTAAAACACATTTTCCATCTTCTCTTTAATTTATGTATTTTTATTTAGTTTTTATATTTATTACATACATTGAGTTCTCATTTATTTATGTTTGATGTCGTATGTATATGTGTATATATATATACATACATACATATGCATATGTATATGTACATATATATATATATATGTTTGTATTTTGTATTTTCTGTATATATATATATTTTTGTTTTGTTTTTTCTTTTTTTTTTATGTTTGTGTTTATTTCATATTAAGTTTTATAATTTCGTTTTAGATATCGATCGTACTTAATTTGTATAGTATATTTAGCATTTAGTTAATATAATTCTGCCTCTCCTTCATTCTCTTTTGTCGTGGGTGAAATGTTTTTTTCTTTGTTTGTTTTTTTATTTTTTTATTTTTTTCTTGTTCATTTTTGCTTTTCTTCTTCTGCTTTGTTTGAAGTATTTTTTAAATTTAATTGTTTACTTAAAATTACAGCCTTTATAAATAATTATTTTTTCATGCCTTGCCAGAGGCTAACCTCTGCATTTGCACTGCTTCTTCTTCTCCACCTACTTCATCATTTCTATTTTTTTTTAAATATGCATTTGCTTTATACTTCATATTTCGCTTGACATTGTACTACGTATCCACTTTTCTTTTATATTTCTTTTACTTTGTAATTTTTCTATATATATAGAATTTTTTGTTTGGATTTTTGAATAATTTGCACACATGTATACATATTTATATATACATATATAATAGTTATCTAAATATATATCCATATAGATTTCTTCGACAATTTCAGTTGGGCTGTTTTTTTTTTATTCATTTATTATTTATTTTTTGTTGTTGTGTTGTGTAGTGTAGTTGCTTAAATACCCGCTCACAAAGTGAATATGGCGTATATTGGTTTAATATATTTTTTTTGCACACGGAAGTTTTTGTAGTTGTACACATTAAAACCCACGAAAAAGTGTTTGTTTTTATTTTTTTCTTCTTTGGTTTCTGATGCTTGGAATATGTTTTTATTTTTATTTTTAAATATTTTTATTAATTTTTAATTTTTACCTAACTCAATTCACACATTGAAAACAGTTTTATCGTTTATCTCAAAAGAGAAAAATATATATTAATTATTATCTTTAATATTTCTTTTTGTTTTTTTTTGTTTTGTTTTTGTTTTTGATTAAAAAATATTGCAGCTCCAAATTGTAATACTTCGTTTATCATAATTGTTATTATGAATATTTATTTTAATATTTTGTATATTCTTTGAGACAGCTTTACTTGAAGCTAGCATAGAACAGAGTAGATCTCGATCTATATGCCTCTCCAGAAACTGCTTTCATTATACCCCCAATGCAAGCTAAACCAATTCCATTCTATGCCAGTTGCTTGGATATATATATATATATCTATGTATATCCAGATATATTCAGTTTGTTAAAACATGAATCTTGATCTGTGTTTTCTTTTGTTATTGTATTTTGTAAGTGTGTTTGGATTTCTTGTATTTCTCATATGTATTACGTATTGGATGTATTTATATACATATATGTATGTTTATTCA